AAAAAATAAAAATGCATAATAAATCTTCTTATTATACTAATAAAATTACAATAATTTTTTTTTTTTACGAATAACATAAAAAAATCATTTTTATCTTCAACAAAAAAACACATTTAAAAGTTAGCAATTTCATAACCACTTTTTTTAATTCTCGAAAATACAATTATAAAAAAGGAAAAGATATTGAATTATAACATTTAATACTTAAGAAATTCAATATTAAATAAATTTTATACATTTATAATAAATTATAAATCTATATATGCAGCTTATATTATTTGCAGGCAGCTTATCGTATATGCTGCCTATCGTATTTGCAACTTATCATATTTGCAAATAACTTATCGTATTTTCACCTTATCCTATTTCCAGCTTATCGTATATGCTGCCTACCGTATTTGCAACTTACCGTATATATTGCATACGGTATTTGCAGCTTACTATATTTTTATATACCGATTTTTACAATTACAAATACCGAGAATGCAGAACACCATATATTCACTTACCAAATCAAATTTTAAAAAAATTTCCAAATTTTTATTTTTTCAACATAAGTATAAAATAAATATTAAATATATATGAAGCACAAAATATAAATGCATATGAATATGATGCTCAATCTTTAATTTTCCAATATTGAATTACACAAAATTTAGAAATATAATTTTCACATTCAACTCAAGCATATCAACACTATCAAAAAATACAAGCAAAATAATTTATATAATCTCGTATATTTCTTATTCAAGTATGAAATATACAAGTATATTTTTTTTAGATGATACAATACTGTTATGCAATTGTAAAAATAATTTGCAATTATTTTCTTATACCATAGAAATATTTCTAGATATTAATTCAAACATTTTACAAAAAAAATTCACACACTAATAAAAATACGATAAATACAAAATTTGTGCAACGCACGTGACAGTCACTGTGCGTAGAGGTTTCTTTTTTTTTTTTTTTTAACTTCGCACTGTATGGAGAGTTTGCCAACTCTCTGCACGATTCGAAGTTTTTTTTTTATTCCGCACAGAATACCATCTCTCCGCATTGTGCGGAGAGATTTTTTTTCTTTTTATTTCGCACTTTACGGAGAGTTTGCCAACTCTATGCACATGGCTTGTCATCTCTCCGCACTATGCAGAGAGTTTTTATCTTCCTTTTTTACTTCGCACATGATTTGTCATCTCTCCGCCTGTTCGGAAAGTTTATTATTATTATTTTTTAAAGCTCGTGTGCGATGATTTTTTTTTTTTTTTTTGCTCATGACAATTTATATTTACTAAAATTATTATTATTTTTTTTACTATTAGTGACATGATGTGTGGAAAAACATTTATTTGACATAATTATTTTTTTAATACTAGTGACATGATGTGTGAAAGAATACCTGTTTGACATAAACAAAATGAAAAATAAAAAATTACATCATGTATAGTAAAATTGGATTAATTTAATATTGTATGAATAGTAGACCCTCCTTCCTCTTTTTATTAGAAGTTAGATTATGTGTTGGGTTTTTTATTCCAGAAATATGAAATTGATGAAAAAAAAATTTCATAAATAAAATAAAATACACCCAAACCACGAAGAAGAAAAATTAAAGGAATGCAAAGGTTTTATCCAATTCAGCAAATGCCTGAATTTGGAGCTCAGAGATTAGCCCAAAAATTAAGCGCACGCAGAAACCTAACAAATGAAGAGGACACGCATCATGAAAAAACCTAATTAGACCAAGATTCAGTCATCGATTTACAGACAGATCTCTTGAATCGTGAACTCTAATCAAAATATCACCAAGAACCTTAAACACTCTACAGACACAAAATAACCACTATTATATGCTTGAATTACTGTAGCAATATGAATTACACTAGATCAAGAGATCACAAATCGAAGCCAAGAAGAATACTAAAAACTAGAGAGAGAAAAACAGAACTTAGAGAAAGGCCATAATGAAATGTAAAGACCGAATTGTCCAAACCCCAAAAAGCCATAGTGAAAATACTCAATTTCAGCCGTAGATCATATCCAACAGGTAAAGAGAAATACAAAACTTCGACGAAAGGCCAGAATGAAAAGTAAAACCGAACCGTCCAAAACCCGAAGAGTCATAGTGGCAAAGACTCAATCTCAGCCATAGATCATATCCAACGGTCCATCATCCATAAAAAGCACAATACAAGTTAAGAATTAAGTGCCAATCCGGGGTTGCCATACAGCCATCCATCCAAGTTGGCAATTTTAAAAGAGTTACAGAGCTTTTTCTATCGGGTTTATACAGGGGCCCTCACTATAACGAGGGCCTCACATGTATTAAAAAAAAAAAAAATTAACGCGGGCCCCACTAATGTGAGTACCTGTAAAATATCTGACAAAAAAAAAACCCTATACATGTAAGTTGATCCTACATTTTTTAGAAACACATTTTTAGAATCTTCACCTTGGTTCTCACTAAATTGCTTTTTAAGTAGGCACTTGTTAGTAGTAATGGTTTATCGTTCCTTGCACTTAAATTATTCACTTTATTCCTCTTACCTTTGTTATTACGTATTTTGATGGCATATACTAGTGGTTATTTTCAAAATAAATAAAACTTTGATATGAAAAAGTAATTTATATTAAAATTTACTTCTTTATAAGTAATTTTTTTAAAGCTTAGTCAACATGAACTAAGAGCAAAATGCAAAGGAAGTACTTTTCCCACAAATCTACATCAAGAAAATGAAAAACGATCAACTTGTACTCAGATGTACTCAGCAACATGTTTCAACCAAATCAAAAACAAACTGAAAACGAAATTATTTCTGGCACTTTATTAATTAATGATGCATAGCTTTCTTTTTTCTAAGCCCATTTCGCCATGAGAGACATCCCACCAGCACCCAATAGAACAGCCACATAAGATTTGATTTGTAACTTGATGCTACCTTGCAACTTTTTCCCCATGAAATCAGAAGCAAGAAGATCCACCAAAGCCATATAAACCAAAAGGCCAGCCGACGAGGCATTAAGCAAACCAACAGTAATCAAAGCACGAGGGCTGTTTTCTTTGTACGTAGTCGATAGTGCCAGGCCAAGCGCAATTCCAAATGGGGTTGTTACTGAGAAGAAGAAGGCCATTATAGCCTTCTTCATAAGCTTATACTCAGCCTGCACGTATTTTTAAATTCGTTAACCTCATAGGAGCATTAGTTAAGAAAATAGTGGAAAGAACTTGAAATAAGCAATTATTTTCATTTGATAGCATTATGGAAAAATGGTTCATGAATGATTAACCTGAAGAATGCAACCACCAAGTCCCATTCCTTCAAACATTTGGTGGAAACAAAGAGCAGCTACTAGTCCTTTGATTGTGCAAGTGTTGTTCGAGGCTCCAAGAGAAAGCCCTATCACAACTGAATGGACAATGATTCCCAACTCCAAAACCTGTAAAAATATTTCATCTAGCTAGTATTAATTATTTTATTTCTTTAATTATAAAAAATGGCAATCTGTACATAACATGGATGCATGCAGTTGTTGTTAATAATCATTGATGACAGTATATCGATTATAACCAATTGTATTGATGTTAATAGTTTTTTAAAAAATCATCGGCAAATATTGATTTTAATTAGAATTGCCACAATAATAAATGATTATTAACATGATATCTCAATAAATAAAAATTAAAAAATGATATCTCAAATTATCAAAAATTAAAAATTTAAGAAAGAATCGTCGGTGACACCAAAAGCTTCGCCCTCAATGATCAACAGCTGAGCAACATCAATGGTTTCTTACGACACCATTGACATCTTTTCCGTCAGTAATCAATGTCAGATTTATGCTTTGATTAAGACCGATAGTTTTTACTATTAGCGAAAGTAATAAAGATTAGAAAAATAACTTTTCATCGATAAGATCATAAATAAAAATATAAAAAAATATCTCAAATTATTGAATAAATTATTAAAAACTAAAAATTAAGAAAACAATCGTCTGCTACACCTCAAGCTTCTCCATCAATGATCAAGAATTTAGCACTATCTTAGGGACGGGGCGGTAGGGGCCCTCAAGATTAATGTTCAACCTTTAAGAATCTAGCACTGTCACTAATTTTCGACGACCTGATCATTAGTATTTGTTGTCAGAGGTACATCGCTTATATCCTATTATATTTTGAATCACTATCACATGTTGATTTTCTTCACAATCATCGATGAAGATTCGGTCGTGATCATTTATTCTATTTTAAATACCTTCCTAAGAAATTTTCTAATACCCCAAAATACTTGAATATTAGAAAAATATCCGTACGGCAAATGATAATTATAGAACACATATAAATCTTATTCCTTTTTGGTCCTTTATTTAATTAATATTGAAAGGACAAGATGAGTTCTTTAATAATAAAATGATAACATGTTATATAGTCATCCAGGAAGTGTTTTCAAATGATGGACTAGAATTTGGCAGTGCCTTTTCCATTATGATTGAAGCTTCAGAACTCAGGATTAAATCTCGGGTTTCAATCCAGGCAGAAGTGTTGTTTTCAAATGATGGACTAGAATTTGGCAGTGCCTTTTCCATTATGATTGAAGCTTCAGAACTCGGGATTAAATCTCGGGTTTCAACACCTCGACCCTTGATCTTCAATCACATAGGGCACACGCGATTCACATCGGGAGTCAAGGTTTTGTCACCTCAGCCCCCGTCTCCAAACCCGGGATTTTATCCCTGATTGAGCAGCAATTTCCTCCCATTAATTTGATTAATTATAGTTAATCCCCATTGTCGGTTGTTAATGTACAAATTAAGGCATGCTGCATGTATTGTGGTTAAACAAATGAAAAAATCTTTATATATGTTTAAATAAATTAATATATATAATAGTGATTTAGAAAATTAGTAACCATTATGGCAATGTTTGACTCCATTTTTAGGGGAAAATAGATTTTGAAATAGTGATTTTCTAAGAATGTATCGATTATTTTAAGAAAAATATGTAATTGAAAATGAGTTCTATTTTTAAAAAATGAAACTCAAACATAGGCTATATATCTATAAATAAATTAGTATATATAAAATAGCGATATAGAAAATTACTAACCATGGCAATTACGCGGTAACGGAGAAGTTGTGAACCATCAACATCAAGTTTGAATCCATGGTGGTGGCCATGAGAATGCCCATTATTCACTACAGCCATCTCTTGATCTCCTTGTGACTCAGGAAGAACTCCATTTCTGTTTTTCTTAGTGTATATACTGGTTGCCATTGAGTCTACCATCAATGTAATTATAGCAGACAACATGGCAACAAATCCGGTAAAAGGAAACTTATGCCATGGATTTTCCTTCAAGCAGCTGGACGACAACATGTCGAATGAATCTGGTAAAACATGCATGAACCCAGTACCCAAAATGATACCTCCGGCGAAACACTTAACAATCACGAAAAGGTTTCCTTCCGGACTGAGGGCTGGAATCGAGCGTGTGACGAGGGGTAAACTCACCCCAATCATGCTCGTGACGAGAATGGATACAATGGCTATAATTTTGAGTGGCAAGGCTTTCTTCTTGTCTATGCAGCTGTCGTCTTCTTCCTCACCGCACTCTTCCACTACTGAGAGGACTTGTACTGAGAACATGGAAATCAAGAAGAAGATGCAGATGATTTTCAAGAGATTGGAAGCCATTGACTCTCTTTTCCGATCACCTTGCTAGCTATTTGACTTTTTTTTTCTTTCAATTTGTTTTGTTTTTCAATTATAACGAAGCCTATATATATAGAATTTTGTTACATCATCGAGGAATATTAATTATTTAATTCATTCGAAATAGATTAATAAAATGTTGCGAAACTAATATAGAACACAAGTCTTAATTCAGTAATTGATACAATACTTTGAAGTACGAATATGTACTACATTTAAAGTGTGACGTGTCCCGTCAATTTATGGCACCTAAAAAGTGTTTAGCACCCCATTGTGTCCATAGCATTACCTTTCGAAATATGGTAAAAAATATAGGAAAAAAACATTGTTTATTAGAAAGAATTGAGAAGAGCAATGAAAATGAAAAAGTGAAGAACTTTTACAAATTATACTGCTGGAGAGTGGTATACAAAATTTTGGAATACAGTAGAAAAGTGTGAAGAAATAGTTTGACAAATCCCAATTCATAGACGGAAACATAAGGAAAAAATCTAAACTTAATTTTCAAATTTAGGCAGTCAACGATTGCTTGAATTTGAATTGATGGTACTTACGACTGGTGCCATCAAATCGATGCCTTGCAATTTTTATGTTGAGCTGCTTGCAAGATCAACTTGTTAGTACGTGAAATTGGCCACTTATTAATGGACTTGTGAGTCGACGAGTGGCTCGTACAAAAAAATTTTGACCCGACAACACTCACTTCAGAGGCAAGAGCAAGCTGCATGTGTCGTGCTGGTGAGTCGAGAAGCGGCTTGCACCCATTGCCAACTCTAGTTGGCTCCTAGTTGAAACAGGTAAAAACACCTATATCATTTTTCCCACGTTAGAAACCCATAAAAAAAAAAAAATAATATATATATATATATATAATAATAATAATAATATAATTAAGTGTAATTTAGATAATAAGCATAAATTACATAGTTTATTTTCAGAAGATCCAAGTCAGAATTGTTTGATAGATTTAATTATAAATTTATCAAAAAATTTAGAATCAGAAAATAAAAAGACATTTAATTATCTAGAAATAATTAAAGATAATATTATTACTAGAGATCAAGAAATAAGAAATATAAAAGAATCATTAGATTATATTAAAAATCAAAATTCAAGTATTTTAGAAAAACTTATTAAATTAGAAAAAGTACCATCTAAAGTAGATTTAGCAGAAATAAAAAGAATTTTAGATTTTAATAAATCTAAAGAAATAGAAATAACATCAACTTCAAGTGTAGAAAAAGATTTAAAAGCTTTAACAAATACATTAGAAAAATTAAGTTTTAAAGAAACAGGAAAAGAGAAAGTAACTAGAAAATTACCTAAAGAATATAAATTTCCAAGATGAGTACAAATCCTTTCTTAGGAAGATCTAGAACAATAAATGAAATTAGTAGAAATAATGAAGAAGTTTTCACATCTAGAAGAAGTACTTCAAGTATAAGCAGAAATATAATAGAAAGAATTTTAAATAGACCAGTACAATATAATCAAAATATAAAGGAAATCATAGACCCTCAACAAGATTATTTAAGATTTCAGACTAATGAATTAAGAATTCTTAACCCAGAAATATTATACAATAGAGGAATCTTTGAAACAAGAACACAATTCTTCAGACACAGTAGATAAGTATCAGTTCAGTGTATAGGAAATCAAGTAAGAAAATTAAATTTAATATCAAAAGATTCTAAAAGAGAATTAAAAAAGAAAAATTTTAGATTTATGCATTTAGGACTAATAATCATAGGAATAAAATGATTAATGAGAAAAAATTTAGGATGTAAGGTTTTAGTTACTATATATGATGAAAGAATTAATAATATAGATAAGAGTATGACTGCTAGCACAGAAGTTGATATGAACAATAATAATGGAATAATTTATTGTAATTCAGATTTTTTATTAACAATTAAAGATTTTTCAGATAAGATTAAAATAGGAATTCAAACTAAAGGATATAAAGAGGTAGAAAGTGGAGACAATTTATTAATTAGTATAGGATTTTTAGGAAGATGTTCAAATAATTCCCAAACAAAATATAAAATTTACATAGATAAAGTAGTAAATTTAATGAGTAGTAAATGAATTAATATGGATAAACCTAAAGAATATTTATCAGAACAGTTAGCAGGATTAGAATGGGATATGGAGAAATTTTTAGAAAATCAAGAAACAATTATAGCATCACAAGAAGTATTAACCTATAAAGATATTCATGGAAGAACTAGTTTAAGATTTTTAGATTATAATAAAGTACAAAGACAAAATAATTTTGAAGAAGAATTTAATCCAGAAGAAGAACAAAATGAACCATATCAAGATCAAGTACATATAGAGTTAATGGATGAAGAATTTGATAGAATAATTTATCCAAAAGAATTAGGAATGAATTTAGATAAAAAAGAATTACTAGAACTTGAAGATCAAATGTATATTAATAAGATGATAAAAGAATCGGAATACCTATATTATGACCAAGAACAGAATATAAAAATAGAAATTATTAAAAAAGATAATGATTCAGAAAATTCAGATTTAAGTTATACAAAATAACTTATGGAAGATTCAAATACATATAAAATTTTTGGAGATACTCCTTTTGATAAAATAGTTAAACATGAAGCAATGATTTTTGGTGAAGGATTTCCCCCAAGAGGAGCTTATCCTTTATATAATAATACAGAAGAAAAATATATAGCAAAAGGAAGTGAAAGACCTTTAGAAAAGAAAATAGAATTTCAATCAGACCATAAAGCACAAATTTTAAATATTACAGCACATGATCCACAGACATGAAATAATGTAATAGATGTATGGAAGAATATTATAATAGGCCATTATATTAGAAATTTTCAAGAAATGGAAGCTTTAAATATGTATAGATATTTAGAAACATTTTTAGGAGAAAGTGTAAAAACTATGTGGGAAGCATTCAAATTAGAAAAGAAAGAAGAATTTGAACAATTAGTCAATATGGGAAGTAATCCATATAATTTTGTTAATAAAATACAGATATTAATAACAGGAGCAGACCCAAATATAAAACATATGAGTATACAAAGAAAAGCTATGAGAGATTTAGAACAACTTAGTCTTTATAAATGGACTAAAGGTAGATATGTTAAGAAATTTTTAAATGAATATCATTATTTAACTTCAATATCAAGAAATATATTTAATCAAGCTATTGGTAATAAACTATTTCATAAATTATCAGGACCATTAGGATTAGAAATTACAGACAAATGGAATAATTTAGTATCAGTAAAAGAAGAACAAAAAAAACAATGGAGTATAGGACAAAGAATACAACATGTAATAAGATGCTTAGAAGATAAATGTGTAGAATTACAAATTCAAAAATAATTAAAGAAAACAGATTATAAATTTTGTAAAGATATTTTTACTTCACAAACTTATGGAGCTACTAGCTCTAGAAAAAATAAATATAGTAATAAAGAAAGAAAATATAACCTTTTAAGAAAAGATATTTTCTAAGAAAATTAATAAAAGAAACCCATATTTATATGAAAAAAGACATGTTAGAAAATTTAAACCAGAAAGAACCTATAAAAATAGACTTAGTTGTTATGTTTGTAATAGTAATGAACATTTATCCAAAACTTGTCCAAAAAGAATAAATAATTATGATAAAAAGAGCACATTAATAGAATGTACTAATGAAGATTTAATACAATTAGATGAATATATTTCAGATAAAAAATCTATTTATAGTATTATATCAATAGAAGATAAAAATTCAGAAGAAAATAAAGAATCTGATTATGAAATAATAGATGAATTCTCAAATTTAAGAATAGAAGAAGAATCAGAATCAGAAGAAGAATTTAATTTAATGAATAATTTAATAATAGAATGTTTACATAATTGGCAAAAATATAAAGGAGCAGATAATATAGCCTGTTACTTATGTAATTGGTATCCAGTAAGAAAACTTAGAGCTAAATGTTTAGAATGTTATAAAGAAGCATGTATAAAGTGCTTAGAAGAAAAAAAACCTTATTGAAAAAGAAGAAATTAATATAGAAATTTCAAGAGAAAAAATTGAAATTTCAGAAATAAAAGTTCTTAGAAAAAAATAGAAAATTTAGAAGAAATGCAAAAATTAATAATAAATAAAATAGAAATGATAGAATATAATAATAAAGGTAAAACAATAGAAATAGAAGAACAAAATCAAAGTAAAGAATATGTTCAGGTAATATGTAATCCAGAAAAACTTAAAAGTATTAAGGTAAAATGTTACATAAAAATATTACAATATGAAATAAAGTGTTTAGGACTAATTGACTCAGGATGTAGTAATTGTATAATTAATAAAAAATTAATACCAAAACAATACATAATACATTCAGAAAAACCAATAGAAGCACAACAAATGGATGGAAAATTATATACTTATACAAAATTATTACAATCAAATTGCAAAATTAGTTTTGAAACAAATTGTGGTAGAAGCATAGAATATACTTTACCTAAAGAATCTGTATGGGTTAGACCTTTAAATATTAAAGATACAGATTTTATTATAAGATTAAGTTTCTTATTAAAAGACAATGGAAGTATTACAATTACTAAAGACTTCTTACATTTACAAAAACATACATTATTTACACCAACATAGACTAATTATTTCCCATCAGAGTGCATAGAGAAGCGTGGTGGAAGTGGAAGTAGTAGCAGTAGCAATAGTAATTGTAAGTGTGAAAAAGAAAGAGAATGTCAATTACTAGAAGAATATAATCTAGAAGAACTTGATTCTGAAGATGAAATAGATTTTGGAATTATAGAATTAGTAGATAATGAAAAAAAAATTATGATATGTTAATAACAGAACAAGAAATAGAAAGTTTAATGTCTTGATTAGAAAAGATAGAAATAATAGGAGAAAATGTTTTAAAATATTGGGAAAAAGATAAAATTTTATGTGAATTAAAAATTAAAAACCCAGAATATATCATTAAAACTAAGAATATAGAAGCCATAAATTTAGACTTAG